ATATGGGTGGCGTGGTCTGCTGCGGCCGGTCTGTACACACAGCACCGGTGTTTGGGCTGCGCCGTTGCCTTAGAGCAATTTCTATCCGCCAGGCCCATGAACGTGCGGACGGACGTTAGTGGAATGAGCGCGATGTTGTGCGGATGGTGTGTAGCATGTCGTCGATGTGGCGCTACACAGACGGTGCCCACGGTGGCTTCTGTGGCCTGTCTATACACACCAGTGGTTTGCGGTACGTTGGGCGATTGCAGCGTATGCCAGCACTACGCTGGTGGTGTTTGGAATCGGACGTTTCCATGCTGAGGAGCTCGGTCGGTGAGGGGGGTTGGTAGGTGTCGTAGGGAATGTTGCGTTAACAGGAGGCGCTTATGGCGGACTATGTCACCTGTCTAGACGCCGCTGCGGTTTGCAGTAGGTTGGTATTTTGGAGCAGATGTCAGAACGGCGTTCACCAGTTATGGAAGTGGGCATTTGCACACGGAACCGCAAATCGCGCCCACAGTGCACGGTACGCATTAGGAGATGCTGGGTAGAAAGAAATTTGTCGTGTTTTGTGGTGCGGCCTGTCTGGCCGCACCGGCAGTTTGAGATATGCTTGCCACCTGGGCAAACATATGGCGTTGCGGCCGTTACGTAAACAGACGTGCGTCGGGAAGGCGAACGTCAGTGTCCGTTTAGGGTGTATTGTGCGTGGCAGGGAATGTGGTGTTTCGCAGAAGGTGCGCGCGGCGGCCCTCTGGCCTGTATATGCACTTCCGTGGTTGCGTTACGTCAGCATTTTGGAGCAGCGGTGACTATTGGCCTTGCTGGGTAGAGGCGCGGAGATGTGTAGTGAGGAGGACAATGTGCGTTGACGGTGCGTGGTGTGTGGCAGCAGATTCGGTGTATCCCAGCATGTGGGTGGCGTGGTCTGCTGCGGCCGGTCTGTACACACAGCACCGATGTTTGCGCTGCGCGCTTCCCTAGAGCAGATTCTATCCGTCAGGCCCATGAACGTCCGGACGGACGTTAGCGGAATCAGCGAGATGTTGTGCCGACGGTGTGCAGGTTGTGGTCGATGTGGCGCTACACAGACGGTGCGCACGGCGGCTTTTGTGGCCTGTCTATACACACCAGTGGTTTGCGGTACGTTGGGCGATTGCAGCGTGTGCCAGCACTAAGCTGGTGGTGTTTGGAATCGGACGTTTGCAAGCGGAGGAGCAGGGTAGGTGAAGGGGGTTGGTGGATGTTGTAGG